CTTTCCAAATGCCTACAAAGATCGTTCATAAGTAGTTAAATAAGCGTCAGCTTACAATGGGTGGCGCGGCAGTCAACGTGTTAACAAGCAACCGTTGCGTGTTATTTTACTCGCTGTTTTCATTCCAGGAACCTGGCGCGTTGCCTTTCAGTCCGCGGAGGATACGCTCTCAATTCCAACACGTTTTCATCGTGGTCAGGGCTGTCGATCCATGCTCTGACAACACTCAGTACAGAGTGGCGGTATCCAGAAGCAAAGAAGTGCCGATTTTCGGCCCCCCTGTCCCTCAGGGCGCCATCTTTACCAAGGGGAAAACATTCGCCGATTTCATCCTGGCAAAAGTGATCAACGCGGAAAATGCTGCGCATAGGTATTCAATTTCGTATCCTTCTATTTGCACGGAACGTTATACAGAATACATTTACCAACCCCGCTCTGTCGTAGATCGGAAAAGTTCGCAACCATGGCAACCAGGACGAGGCAGGAATACTTGAAAGATCTCGCAACGAATTATTCTTCAACAGCCGTGGTTGACACCGGACAGAAATTTTGTAAGTAACCTCGCATCTCGACCCCCTCATCCTCGACCTTAACCTCGTCGTCCTTTCGAACGAACAATCCACGACTTATGTTTTCGTACAGCTATGCTGTCGTTCAGCAGCAAGAAGAAAACTGCGGTACGACCAAGATTATCCTGCGACGCGATGCAACGCGGAGCCATATGCTGGCAGGTGATACTTGAGGACAGCAATCAGAACACGGATTGCTACCTGGGTGTAAGCATAGACACGATCGTCCTGATCGAGGAACATTCGAGACAAATTGTATTCGTCACTCCATGCGTGAGCGTGCTGGGATGGCACGCCCAAACTAACAGGTACATTCTCAATTCTTTTTAATTCTTTTATCTTATGTATAGAAACTTATGTATTGATTCACTTGTTCGTTTCAGCTTGAGATTGTACTATCACCAAGGAGAATGTATCACGATTCACGTGCGCGGTGATTACGGGGAAAGGGACGAGTTAATGGAGATAGTTGCTCGTCTACGCGCCGTAACACCAGGAGCACCGGCCACCGAACTATCCTTGAAGAGGAACAGCTTGGGACAATTGGGTTTTCACGTTCAACCCGACGGAGTGGTAACGCAGGTCGAGAGTATGGGGCTCTCCTGGCAAGCGGGGCTGAGGCAGGGATCCAGGCTCGTCGAGATCTGCAAAGTAGCTGTGTCCACTTTGAGCCACGACCAGATGGTCGATTTGTTGAAAACGAGCGCTCAGGTCACTGTCACTGTGATACCACCGAATAACGATGGTAATCCAAGGAGGTGAGAATCATCTCTAGAACGATTACTCTATTAGTCGATTCTTATCGTTTATAAGATTTTCCTTCTCGTCGCGAAACAGAGGCTGTACGCTGCAGAATTGCCAATACTTGTCGAACAATTACGAGGGGGATTACGAAAATGTAACCAGTCCGGATAACACGCCAACTCAGCAGGCAGCTATGCCGCATCAGAAACGGTACGAGAGATCTTTCAGCCCACCACGATCGAGCAACAGTTCCGGTTATGGGACAGGATCTAGCTCAAGATCGTTCAACGATCCGCGTTTCCCCATGGAAGGCACGATGACGAGTAGTAGTAGCGGGCACAGTAGCAACGAAGATCGTTGGTAAGAAGATAACGTGCATTACATTTTATTAGAGTATTAATAAATTTTTAAAACTCGATATTTATCTGGTTTTATTATTATCTATGTCAGGTACGAGCTGTTGGAACCGCAGGATCAGGAAAGTGCAGGGTATCGTACCAATGGCGGCACTCCCCCACCACCGCTTCCAGCTAGGCAATCATTTCAGATGATCGCTTCGAAATCTTCTCAGAAGAAGGATAAAGAGTCCCATTACGCGAGCGCTAAACAATTTTCCGAGAGTTCGAAGCACCATGGCCATGATCATTATCAGAAAGAGGGCAATTACGTGTCACCGAAAGTGGTACAGGATAACATGAGACACGAGAATTATCAAAGGCAATTGGACAACGCCCATCGTAATCAGGACCACGTCTCCTCTAATTACGTGAAGCTTCAAAAGGAGAAATACGAGATGAAGCAAGAAAATTTATACGCGTCCCAGAGAGAGCTTCAAAAGAGCGATATGCATTACGTAACTCATCAAAAGTTGAGCGCATCCAACTCTTTACCCTTAGCCCAGAACGCGGCTTACAGTCTTCCAAAGTCTAGCAGTAATAACAATCTCGGTAGATGCAACGAAGGATACGAGCACGAAGGGAAACAGGACAGAAATTCGAAGTACGACGGGCAGGATGAAAAATTGATGGATAGAACGTCGTGCAAATACGAGCAGGATATAAGGGGCCACGAGGCTAAGAGAGCGTCGACGATCAATTACGATTATCCCGAGGAGATATACGAGAGACGGAACAGCAAATACGACATGGATGTGTCGAATAAGTATGAAATCGAGTGTCAACACAATATCAATATCAACGAGAGAAAGCATGGCGATAATCAAATTGAACCTAATCGGGACACCTCCATACGATACGATTTGCCGCACGAGTTCAAAGTTGGGGAGAAGGTTACGTGTTTGAAAACTACCATCACCGAGAGGCCCGTCCCTCACAAGATAAACATCGAGTATCGCCAAACGAAAGATTTCGCCACAAGCCTCCCCCCCGAAATGAGAATCGTCGATGTCAATTGTCCGGAGGTGGCTACATTACCGAGCGAGGATGAATTGTCGAACGGATCCGGCAGCGTGTCACCTCGACTGAGAAGAGCGAACAAATCGCACCGTGGGGGAAATCTAACGCCTTCGAGCGGTGGTTCGAGGAATCAGAGTCCGAGACCGAAGCCGGGCGTACGAAATTCGCACAGGAATTCGGCGAATTTAACGTCGAGTACGCTTCAGGAAGATCTGATGAAACTGATCAATCCCGATTATATAGGCGACGATGATCAAATAATAACGAATAACAACGTGACCGGGAACGCGTTGATCGCCAATCAGAATCCGAACAAAATGAACAACAACAATATGCTCGAGATACAGAACAGGTGTAGATCGAGAGAGAATTTGTGCGGTGGTAATGGGAACGCGTTGACCGTGTTGCCGGCTAACGGCCAGGAGAACGGCAACACTGGATCCGAGGTGATCTTGACGATGGCCAGGCCAGCAACGGTTATTTCGAATGCAAGCACAGCGTCGAGTCCCGCGCCGAGCGAGAACAAATTGTCGAAGGAAGAGAGGTAAGAGAGATAATTTGATATATATATATATATATATATATATATATATGTTGTACAAAGATATACGATCTTGGAGCTTTCCTTTCCTATGTGAAATACACATGTGCGTGTGTTGTGTGTAATCTCTTTAATTTAGATTGTCACCGCGCGTTACCAAACCTCCCCAATCGATTTCCAAAGCATCGGCCAACTTGACACCGTCCATCAAAGACGTTGCGAAAAATCATAACGATACGGACGTGGACCGTTGGCCACAAATTCACCACGTGGATTCTAGATCGAAGCAGCACGCCCAAGAATGGCCCGACGAGAGACTTATCGATGGATGCAATACCATCGCGTAAGTTGGCGACGCGATCTGCAATTACCGTGCCACGATACCGAATATATTAATTATTTATTCTATTCGCGTTCTCTCTCTTTCGAACTCTTGATTCACATGATTCGTATATATGATTCATTTCGATGCTATTTTTTTTTTATTATATTATCCGCGCAATTTCGATCGATCGTCTTCTCTGTGTTTCAGAAATTCCGTGTCGGATTTGCAGTCTCATTTGTCCACTCTTGAACTGAGAGTAGCCAGAGAAACTCGTCGAAGGCTTTCCTTGGAGGACGAAGTGCGTCGTTTGCGGGACGAGAACCGACGTTTACAGGATGAGAGTCACGCGGCTGCGCAACAACTTCGACGTTTCACCGAATGGTTTTTTCACACGATAGATCATCAATAATATCCAAACAAATATCGTAATTCGAGGACAATCGTTCGAACATGGAGCACATGGAGCTTTCTTTTTCTTGTTTCTTTTTTTTCTACAATCCATCGTTCTAAAATTACAATCATTTTGTTTTTTCTTTTTTTTCGTAAGAGCAGTATTAGTTTCGCGTTTTCTCGAACATCGACTATCGCGTATTCTCTTAGAGATTAAGAGGCGAATAAAAAAGAAGACAATTCTAAAATCGTTGCACGTGCATATGCGTTAAAGTGAATTCTCAAGTATGTATACGTGTAATGCGCATTTGTTCGCGATATCATCACGAGTATGCATGCTCGGTATTCTGTATTATAGTTATACTTTAGGTATAATAAGGTAGCTAATAAGAGTACAATATAAGTTACCATCGTGTCACGCTCCATCGAACTCTCCATCAAATGTTTAAGAGAGAAAAAAAAAAAAAAAAAAAAAAAAAAAAAAAAAAAAAAAGTAGCGTGTAGATGAGAGTAGCCAGCTCTAGAAAATTGACTCAAAGAACGTTGCTTTGTTCACGATGCGCGTTGATCACGATTACATCTCACTTCAAAAAAAAAAAAAACGACCAAATATTGTTAGTTGTTTAAGAATCACTTTAATTCATTCGTAATTTATTACGTATTTTTTTATATCATCGTTAAAGGATCGTTCTCGTATTTTTGCGAATTGAAACATTCCTCGGTTATCGGAACCATCCTTCGCCAACCATCTTTGCGAACCTGCCTTGGCCGAACGAGACTTAAACGCGTTCGTTAAATTGGATCTTCTTCTTCGCAACTGATAAAGACGTGATCTGTCGATAAACGATAAACTGTAAAGCGATGAGACAAAAATCGATCAATAAAAAGAAATGCACACCTCATATGAGAGAGAGAGAGGAAATATTTATTTTTGATACATTTTTGATAAATCGAAATTAAGGATCCGCGCGAAACGATTTTCAACGGAGGAAGATCGTGAGATGGGAGGAATGTATTTCCAATGATAATACAACAACAACAACACACGTAGAATAAAATAGTTTATTGTAATTCACAGAAAAAAAAAAA